CTACCAATAATACTCCTACTACTAAGACAGCGACTACAACTATTAGTACGACGACGGTGACGACGGCTACGAATTCTACCAGTGCTACGACGCCCACTAGTACGACTAATACTAGTACAAGCACTACTACTACTACTACTACTACTACTGCTACTACGACTACTACTACTACTGCTACTACTACTACTACTACTACTACTACCACTACTACTACTACCACGACGACTACTACTACTACTACTACTACTACGATTACTACTAACTACTACTTACTATTACTACTTGCGGCTTACGACTTCCTACTTACGACTTACTACTTACTACTGACTACTACTACTACTACTACTACTACTACTACTACTACTACTACTACTACTACTACTACTACGACTACTACTACTACTACTACTACTACTACACTGCTACTCTACTACTACTACTACTACTACTACTACTACTACTACTACTACTACTACTACTACTACTACTACTACTACTACTACTACTACTACTACTACTACTACTACTACTACTACTACTACTACTACTACTACTACTACTACTACTAATGCTAAGAATACGACTAAGAAGACCACTGCTACTACTTCCTGGAGATGTAAGCAGAGGGCGCAAAGGAAGAAGAGGGACGGAGATGTAGAAGAAGAAGGAGAAGGAGAAGCAGACCAGGATCAAGAGGAAGGGAGTAGACGAGGGGAGGGGCAGGAGCCTGGCTTCGGACGCCGCGAGGGACTCATGAGTGGGGGGGCAGGGGCTCAAAGTAGGGGGCAGCCTTTACCTTCACGACCACCTGCTTCTCACGATGGCTGTATCCGCTTGGCTGCCGACGCAGCTGGCGCGGCGTACATGTCAGATGAGCGGCTTCCCCCCCTTCACGGGCGCAGTTAGCTTTGCTCGTAACTCGTAGCCCGTGGCATTGCTGACAGTCGAACTGCTCCTAGCAGTTAGCACCGCTCGTAGCACGCGCACGCCGCCCAGTCGCGGAGCGTGCTGCCAGCGAACCGATGACACATCCATCGCTCGAGGATCAGTCCATCGACCGCTCGATCGATCGAGGATCTGCAGATCGAGCGAGGATCGAGCGGTCGAGGATCGATCGAGGATGGATCGAAGATCGATCGCGGACGGTGCCTGTTCGGCCCTGCTGCCGGCAGCGGCCGCAAAGGCGCCCGGAGCCGCCGGGCAGCCGCAGGCTCACCCCCGACAGGCTGGCGCAGAGGTTAGGTGAACGAGCGGTGAGAAATCGGACACTCGAGTGGCGATGATGATGGTACTAGTTGATGATACTGATGATGATGAAGAGGAGGACGAGGAGGAGGATTATGATGATGAGGGGAAGGAGGATGAGGAGGAAGAGGAGGAGAAGAAGGATGATGTAGAGGATGCTGATGCTGATAACGATGATGATGATGATGATGATGATGATGATGATGATGATGATGATGATGCTGATGCTGCTGATGATGATGATGAGGGCAGAGGCGGAAGAGATAATGATGATGAGGATGATGATGGTGATGAGGATGATGATAAGGATCAGGATGATGAGGAAGACGAAAATTTTGATGAGGATGATGAGGAGAATGGCATGGATGATGACGATGACGATGAGGAAGATGATGATGATGATGATGATGATGATGATGATGATGACGACGATGATGATCTTGATGCTGGTGAGGATAATAATGCTGATGATGATAACGATCTTCATCATGATGAGTATGAAGGCTACGGTGATGATGATGATCTGATGATGATGATGATGGGTGATGATGCTGATGATGGTGATATTGATGTGGCTTGATGATGATGAGGATGATGAAGAGGATGATGATGATGGTGATGATGATGATGATCATGTTGCGGATATTGACGATGATGCTGCTGATGATGATGGTTGTCATCGTGATGATGATGCTGATGATGTTAAGTGTGCCATTGCTCCTGTTGTTGATGGTGATGATGATGATGCTGATGATAGTGATGCCAGTGCTGATGCTGATGGTGATGCTGTTGTTGATAATGTTGCCGGTGATGTTGACGATGATGATGATGATGATGATGATGATGATGATGATGATGATGAGGGGGGATGATGAGGAGCACGATGTTGATAGATGGTGATGGAGGGTGATGATAACAAACGATGATGAGCACGATGATGCTGCTGCTGATGCTAATGCTGATGATGATGCTGCTGATGATGATGATCATCATCATCATGCTGATGGTGGTGATGATGGTGATGCTGATGGTGGTGATGATGGTGATGATGATGATTATGCTGATGATGATGATGATGATGATGATGATGATGATGATGATGATGATGATGATGATGATGATGATAAGTTTCCAGTGCGCTCGGATGCATAAGCTGGTGACAGAGAAGGTACAAGCTCAGGCGGCACTCGCCTACACCGCTGAGTAGCCTCGTTGGCAATTTGACCCCCGAGTGGCGAGGATCCCTGGGATCCAGCCAACGATCCATGGCGATTCCGTGCGAGGACCCCTGCGCGTCAAGCTTCGGGGCGTGTTCGACACAGGCGCGCTCAGGCCCTCGGGAAGAGGGCCTGCGGCGCCCCCTCGTGCCCAGCGTGCCGCTCCGCGCCAGTTCCTGCGCAAGAGGCCCAGTCCCTGGCCAAGAAAACACGCACCTCTCCGAGTGGGCTGCGGTCGGGACCTTCTGCTCAGCGTGCCGTGGCGGCGGCGCAGCGACCCGCTCCGCCCTGCAAGCGGACAGCGCGTGGCTCCGCTCCACGCGGCGGAAGAGGCTGGGACAGGCTCGGGGCGCTGACGCCTGGCGACCGGTGTCGCGCCGAGGCGTGGTGGGCCAGAGCCAGCGACGGGACACGCCAATCTCAGCTTCCTCCTCCTTCCTCCTTTTTACTCAACGCCTCCTCCTCTTCCTCCTCCTCCTTCCTCCTCCTGCTTCCTCCTCCTTCCTCCTCCTCCCCCTTCCTCCAAACTCCTGGCCGCAATCTGAGCTGCGCCCGCCCGCCCGCCCGCGGGCCCGCCCTGGGACGCACCCAGCCGACCAGGGCCCGACATCCAGGCAGGACCCCGCAGAGAAGAGCGGGGCGGAGCCACGCGACGCGGAGACAGTCCTACACACTCTTATGGCTCCCCCTCCCCCTCCCCCTCCTCCTCCTCCTCCTCCTCCTCCTCCTCCTCCTCCTCCTCCTCCTCCTCCAAGTGACCCTCCTCGTCCTCCTCCACGTCACCCTCCTCGTCCTCCTCCTCCTTGTCCTTCTCCTGCTCCTCCTGCTCCTGCTCCTCCTCCTCCTCCTCCTCCTCCTCCTCCTCGCCCCCCCGACAGGAGGGAGCCGCTCGCCTGCGCGCCTCTTCTTCCTCCTCTGCCTCCAGGACCTTTGGCCTTGGCCGGGAGGAAGCAGGAGGATGGGATGGCATAGGCAGATGGGTACAATCATCGCGCTACCACAAGGGGCGCCGAACACTGGAGGAACGAAACAAGTTCTTCTGACCATGGCGAGCCTCGGCCACGAACGTGTGTCCACGACTGGAGTCTGCGGAGCGGCCCGAAAACCCGACCTCCTCCTGAGCCCGCAGCGATCCGTATTTCAGCGACTGGACTGTAGATGGGTGGATGCCTGGATGTCTCAGGGCAGACTGACTGCAGGCGCGCGATCCTGGCGCTTGCCAAACGGAGGCACGAGTCGCGTCGGGGGGGGAGTACGCCCCGCGGTGCCAGGGAGGCCCCGCCAGGAGGACGCAGCTGGTCTACAGACAATGATGTACGGTTTAGGAGGCAACTACTGGGAGGTCTTCGTCGGAAGGATGAAAAAGGGTTAAGCCCCATTGGGGGCTGTTACGCCTGAATGGGCCTCGGATTAAGCGGGATTAAACCGGATTAAGCGGGATTGAGCCGGATTAAGCCGGACTAAGCGGGATCAAGCCGGATCAAGCTGGATTAAACCGGATTTAGGACCAGGGCAAAATCAGAATTTGACCTCCCAGGAGTTGCATCCGAATGCGGTCGGGAACTTTTGGACAGCGTGTCGCCGCGGAGCCCCCCGCGGCACGCCATGCTCTGCGAGCAGACAGCGTGTCGCTCCGCTCCGCGGGGGGTGAGGCCTCGAAAGGATCGGCATGTTGACGCGTGAGAGCGGGGCGGTGGACAGCAGCGTGCCGCGCCGAAGGCCGAAGCGTGCCGGGCCAGAACTGGCGGAGCGGCACGCTATCCAAAAGCTCCCGACCGCAGCACCCCATGCATCGGGAGCGGTCGTGCAAGCCGCTTGCCCAAGTCACCGGGCTCTGGGCCCCACGCCGCCCTGGGCGCGAGCCGCGACTCCGCCGCGCCCTGATGATCATCACCGCCCCAGCTCAGACCACGAAGCGCAGAGCACGCTCGCCTTCGCGCCCCTGCTGGGTGGCGCGGCCTGCGCGGCCCGGGCGGCCAGTTCTGGAACTACGGGGACGCACGGTGACACGAACACGGCGCTGGGTGGGATACTAATCGAGGGGTGGGCGACTAACCTTCCGACGGAGCTTGCCCATCCCCCTCGCCTCCTCCTCCTCCTCCTCCTCCTCCTCCTCCTCCTCCTCCTCCTCCTCCTCCTCCTCCACGTCCTCCCTCCCCCTCCTTCATCCCTCCCTCCTCCCTCCTCCTCCTCCTCCTCCTCCTCCTCTCCTCCCCTCCCCCCTCCTCATCCTCCTCCTCCTCCTCCTCCTCCTCCTCCTCCTCGTGCTCCTCCTCCTCCTCGTCCTCCTCCTCGTCGTGGTCAGGGGGTGGAGTGCTCCATGTATCTATTGCTTCGCAATCTCTCCGAGGTCCTCTGAGCGGGCGAGGCTCAATCGTAACCGACACAGTCGCAATATCCGTAACTCCGTAACTCCTCCTCCTCCTCCTCCTCCTCCTCCTCCTCCTCCTCCTCCTCCTCCTCCTCCCCCTTCCCCTCCACCCCCCCCTTGCACCCGTTCTGGCAGCACGTGCCCAATCCCCCAGCGGATCCAAGGGGGGGGGGGGGGGGGGCAATTACTGCCCCATCCAGAGTCGGAGGTGCGCGCAGACCTCCGAAAGTTGGTGCTCGTGTCACTGCTTCTTCCCCTCAGCGCGGTCCAAGCGGCCTGCTCCGAGCCCTCGGAGGCAGTCCCGGGGCCGTTCTCGGCCCCCCTTCGGGCCACCTGCCTGCCATCCTCGACCCCGCGCGCCTGCAGAAGTGCACCGCTGAGGCCCCTGGAGGCGCGGAAGACGCCGTGGCCCCCCCAAATAATCCCAAAATAGTCGGGACCTACTTTTGTTGATTATGTTTCACCTTTTTGGGGGTATTTTGGGGGTCTTTTTTTATACTTCGTCAAAAATCCCCGTGTAGGGGGAGAACGCTGCGGGGGGAACGCTTGCACCAAGGAAGCCCTGCAATCTCTTGGGGGCGCAATTGTGCTGCGTCCGCCGGTCTCCGCCGGCTGGCTCTTTCGCCGAGGAAGAGGCGTCAGCTCCTCCTCCTCCTCCTCCTCCTCCTCATCCTCCTCCTCCTCCTCCTCCTCCTCCTCCTCCTCCTCGTGCTCCTCCTCCTCCTCGTGCTCCTCCTCCTCCTCGTGCTCCTCCTCCTCCTCGTGCTCCTCCTCCTCCTCCTCCTCCTCCTCCTCCTCCTCCTCCCTCCTCCTCCTGCTCCTCTTATTCCTCCTGCTCCTCGTCCTCCTCCTCCTCCTCGTGCTCCTCCTCCTCCTCCTCTTGCTTCTCCTCCTCCTCCTCGTGCTCCCTCCTCCTCCTCCTCCTTCCTCCTCCTCCTCCTCCTCGTGCTCCTCCTCCTCCTCCTCCTCGTGCTCCTCCTCCTCCTCCTCCTCCTCCTCCTCCTCCTCCTCCTCTTCCTCCTCCTCCTGCTCCTCGTATTTTCTCCTGCGCCTCCTCCTCCTCCTCCTCCTCCTCATCATCATCATCAGCAGCATCACCACCACCACCACCACCACCACCACCACCACCACACCACCACCACCACCACCATCATCATCATCATCATCATCATCATCATCATCATCATCATCATCATCACATCATCATCATCATCATCATCATCATCATCATCATCATCATCATCATCATCATCATCATCATCATCATCATCATCATCATCATAAAATTATTCATCAGCATCATCATCATCATCAGCAGCAGCAGCAGCATCAGCATCAGCATCAGCATCAGCATCAGCATCATCATCAGCATCAGCATCATCAGCATCAGCATCAGCATCAGCGTCAGCGTCAGCATCATCATCATCATCATCATCATCATCATCATCATCATCATCATCATCATCATCATCATCATCATCATCATCATCATCATCATCACCATCATCAGCATCCCCGCCCCCGACAGGTCCCGCCCAGCGCGCCGAGCGCCGGGCAGAATGTACAGCGCCCAGGCAGGCACCACGACCAGGCCCAGCGCGAGGGTGATACCCGAGATGATGAAGGTGCGCTGGTGCTTCGTGTGCCCCTCGGAGATGTCCTCGGGGCGGAGGCCATGCCAGGCCCTGGGCTTCGCGCGCCCGCGTTGCTCTCGGCAGGCGCCCGCGCGCGGCGCATCGACGGAGCGTCTACCGCGGCAGCGGCCGGCCGGGCAAGGCCGAGGGGGAAGAGCAAAAAGCGGCGCCAGCATGACTTCGCCGAGCTCCGCGCGGATTACCTGGGTCGGCGCTGGGCCCGCCCTCCCTGGCGCCAGAGGCTGCGCCGGAGGCGCTGCCAGGGGGGGGGGCCAACGCCGATCCAGGACATCCGAAATCCGCGCGAGCCGAGGGGGGCAGTAAACGCGGGGCGAAGAAAGGTGCGCCCGTCGTGCACCTCTTGTTGTGCCGTCGAGGACGCACTGACCCGGGTCAGTGCAAGCCTGGGCCAGTCGGGCTTTGCAGGAACCTGCAAGCTCCTACAGGATCCTGCAGGATCCTGCGCGCAGGCCTGGGTCAATGCACCTCTGGCTCTGCAGGATACTGCAAAATCCCCCGCTCTGGCTGACCTCCGTTTGCATTGACCTCCGTCTCATGGCTCCCGATGCCGTGGTCCAACGAAGGCCCTCCCGCTGTCTCTTCCTCCTCCTCCTCCTCCTCCTCCTCCTCCTCCTCCTCCTCCTCCTCTTCATCCTCAACTTCCTCCCCCATCCCGCTTCCTCACAAATAACTCCTCGCTGTCGCACCTCGAGGCTGGTCGCAAGAGCGGGCCGGGCGTTTCCCCGAAGCTTTCCTGGCAATCTACGGTCCAGAAGCTAAAACGTTGCAACAGCTTCACGGATGGAGGACTGGCCGTTTTCAAAATGTAGTTCTCGCCTTAGCGCCGCGCGCATTCGTTCTTTTAGAAAACGTTGAAATGGCTTCACGGAAGGAGGGCGGGCCGTTTTCAAACTGTGGCGCTCGCATTCACGCCACGTACATTCGTCTTGAAAAAAATACACAAGCGTCACGGATGGAGGGCGGGCCGTTTCCAAAATGCGGGTCTCGTCGTAGCGCCGCGCACATTTACCTTAAATATTTGCAAAAGCTTCACTGGTGGTGGGCGAGCCGTTTTCAAAATGTGGCTCTCGCCTTAGCGCCGCGCACCTTTGTCTTCAATAGTTGCAAGGACTTCACAGATGGAGGGCGGGCAGTTTTCAAAGTGTGGTTCTCGCCTTAGCGCCGCGTGCCTTGTCTTGAAAGTTTGAAAGAGTTTCACGGATGGAAGGCGGTGCCCTTTCAAAATGTGGCTCTCGCCGTAGCGCCACGCACATTCGTCTTAAGAGTTTGCGACAATTCCAAGGATTCGCATGGTCAGCGAGTCGAACATGCTGTTTGGCAAGATGTCGGGATGTCAAGGCGCAACAGTCACGGTGATTCGCGGTGTTGAAGTCCCAGGAATCGTGTTCTTGCATGATCCAAGATCGTCAAGACGCAACCGTGACGGTGATTCGTGGCGTAGAACACCCAGGAATGGTGTTCTGGTGCAGTTATGGATGTTCGAACGGTTGTCTTCCAACGTGGCACTTCCCCAAATGGAATTGAATTATTGCAGGGGCCTGTGAAAGGGGAACGGCAGGGCTCATTGCAATATCGTTGATGGGTCTTGGGTTTACACTAGTCCTCCGCCTCCTCCTCCTCCTCCTCCTCCTCCTCCTCCTCCTGCTCCTCACTCCTCATTCCTCCCTCCTCTATCCTTCTCCACCTCTTCCCGCCCAGTTCTTCAAGCCGCGCCCAGCCGTGGAGGCGAGAAGCCCCAGCAACGCGGCAGCAAAAAACGAATCCGAGAGACGACGACGCCGACGACCCGGCGGCAGCCCGCCACGGCGAAGGCAGGCGCGGCAGCCGAGGAGGAGGAGGAGGAGGAGGAGGAGGAGAAGGAGGAGGAGGAGGAGGAGGAGGAGGAGGAGGAGGAGGATGAGGAGGACAAGGAGGACGAGGACGAGGAGGAGGAGGAGGAGGAGGAGGAGGAGGAGGAGAAGAAGGAGGAGGAGGGAGGAGGAGGAGGAGGAGAAGGAGCAGGAGGAGGAGGAGGTGGAGGAGGAAAAGGAGGAGGAGTCCTCCACGGCCGTCACGAAGCAGGCCTCCCAGGACAGGCCCATGAGCAGGCCGAAGACCCGCAGCAGCTCGCGCAGGCCGTTGCTCACGCCGTCCTCGCCCACGTCCTCGGCGGGAGCCCTCTCGCCCCTGGGCGGAGGCCCCCGCGGGGCCCACGAGAGGCCCTCGGAGAGCCCTCGGAAGGCCGTTGGGCGGTCCTCGAAGGGCCCTCGGAGGCCTTCGGTGTCCCTCGGGGAGCCCCAGGCGGCCTTCCTCAAGGGTCCTTTCGGTGTGCCTCGGGGGGCCTTCGGTGTCCTTCGGGGGGCCCTCGGAGGCCTGCGGCGGCCCTCGGGGACACGGCGTCGGAGCCTCCGCGAGGCCGCTTCGGCTGCGCGGAGCGCCCAGGCGGCGTTCGCGAAGGCCTCGGGGGAGCCCGAGGGAGCGCAAGCTCGGGGCCACGGCGACTTCGCTCGCAGCGGAGCGGTCGAGCAGGAGGAGGGCGTGCGCAGCGGAGCGGTCGAGCAGGAGGAGGAGGAGGAGGAGGAGGAGGAGGAGGAGAAGCAGGAGGAGGAGCAGGAGCAGGAAGAGGAGGAGGAGGAGGAGGAGGAGGAGGAGGAGGAGGAGGAGGGAAGAAGCAGGAGGAGGAGCAGGAGCAGGAGGAGGGTGTGCGAGGAGGAGGCGGCCTGCGCTCGCCGAGGACGGCGAGGACGGCGAGGAGGCGGAGCCAACGGGCGCAGCGGTGCCCGCCGTCGGCGGCGGGGCTGCGGGCGCACAGCGGGCACGGCCGCTCACGGAAGGTCGGGCTCGCCGTCTCCGGCGCCGTGGTGCGAGCAGACTAAGCGCAAGGAGGAGCCGAGGGGAGGAGCGTGCTCTTGATCGCGGGCGCTGCGACGTGCCGGCGGCTGAGGGGCGTGGCTGCTTGTGCCTCCTGCGGGGAGGGTGGAGGTGGAGGAGGAGACGAGGAGGAGGAGGGGGAGGATGGGGAGGGAGAAGAAGAGCGAGGAAGGGGGAGGGGGAGAAGGAGGAGGGGGGAGGAGAAGGAGGAGAAGGAGGAGGAGGAGGAGGAGGAGGAGGAGGAGGAGCGGGGGAAGGGTTCAAGGGGGAGGAGGACGAGGAGGAGGAGGAGGAGGAGGAGGAGGAGGAGGAGGATCAGGAGGAAGAGGAGACGCATCGGATGACCAGAATGACCAGGCGGAACACAAGCCATTAGGTAACAGGAGGAAGAGGAGCAGCAGTCGCGGGAGCGGTGGAAGAGGAGGAAGAGAAGAGAAAGGGGAAGTGGAGGAGAAATGGGGAGAGGGGGAAGGGAAGGGGGAAGATGGAAGATGCGCATAGTCCTGTTCGTAGACTTGCACTGGCCCGGAAACCCAGCCTTCTGGGAGGCCCCCTGGCCTTCCGGGCCTCTTGGACGCCCCTGCCGGACCTAGCCAGCGGGCCCGAAGCGGTCAGGAGGGTGGCCGAAGGGAGAGCCCCAAGCAGCCCCAGACACTCACCAGAGGCCCGAAGGCGGCCCAAAGAGAACCCCCAAGATGCCCTCGAAAAGGACAAATCATTGATTCACGTTGGTTTGTGTGATTTGTTGATGCTCGGCTCTTCGGTTTTCCGGGCTCCCGAGACCGCCTAAGAGACCCCGGAAAGATTTGCCAAACGTGCCAAGAGGCTTCCAGACAGTCCAAGGGAGCCGCAAGACGGCCTAACAGGGCCCAAAGATGGCCCGAAGAGAGTTCCACGACGGTGCAAGATGGCCTCAAGACCCCACGAAGCAATCCAAGTCGTGACCCTTTCGTTGAGGGAGACCGTGGTTCGCAGCAAGGTGGCCCGAGGAAGCCCCCAGAGGCCCCTAAACGATGCCCAGGAGGTTTCCAGGAGGCACCCAGGAAGCCCCGAAAGAGCTGTCGCGAGGCCGCCAAGAGGTCCCAATAGGCTCTCCTGGGAGGAACCTCCGAAACAACAAACTGAGGAAGGGGAAGGGTTCGCAGGAAGGGCAAGAACGAGGAGGAGGCAGAGGAAAGATGAGAGAAAAAGAAAGAACACAATGGCTAGAACGACGATGACGGAAACGGCAACAATGAGCTATCGCTACTGCGATGCTCAATATGCACTACTCTCTCGTCCCGCATGCAGACCAAACTTGAAGGACCAGGGTGGATGGCGGGAAGCGCCATTGCAGTCTCGTGTATATGAATATGTATGTACGTGAACGTATTTGAATGTTGTATAAGTATGTATGAAGATGTATTTTCTTACGCATGCATGCACATTGGCATATGTGTATACATACAGATACGTGCCAATGTATATTTTTCGAAATCCACACTAAATGTGCAGCGCTGGAACGTCCGACAAATGCGACCTGGGGGCGTCAAACTCTTCAGACTCACCCCTCTCCTGCTGTATCCCCTCTCTCGTTCTGTTCCGTCCACGACTCCTGCTTCACTCCCTCTCCCGACCCCTTGCCTTCTCTCCAACCGTATTTTTCTTTCTCTCTCTCTCTCTCTCTCTCTCCCCTCCATCTCTCTCTCTCTCTCTCTTTTTCTTTCTTTTTTAATCTCTCTCTCTCTCTCTCTCTCTCCCTCTCTCTCTACATATCCCCTTCTCTGTCTTTCTATCCTCTGGGACCGTGCGAAACCCCACCCCGAAACGGGAGCCCCCGCGGATCCTTGGCCCGAGGGGCACCCCGGACGCCCTTGCCGTCGGTCCCGGGTGCTTCCCGGGGTTCCTGAAGCCCCTGCGGGGCCTGGGCAACGGGCCCAAATCAGTCAAAAGGGCGGCCGAAGTTCGGCCTAGGCAACGGGCCCAAATCAGTCAAAAGGGCGGCCGAAGTCTAGGGCATCTGTGGTCTCTCGCGGGGCCGTTCGGCCGCCGAACGGCCCCGCGGGAGACCACAGATGCCCCAGACACCCACCAGACGTCCGAAGACCACTCCCAGAAGACGCCCTTGCCGTCGGTCCCGCGTGCTTCCTGGGGTTCCTGAAGCCCCTGCGGGGCCTACTGGCCATCGCTCGGACGTCCATTTCCTGTGTTTTTTTCGGTCTCGTGCGTGGTTTTTTCGCCAAATGGTCGAGGACGCTCCTCGAAGGTCCTCGCCGAGAAAAAAATGCACACGTCCGAGCGATGCCGGGAATAGGCAACGGGCCCAAATCAGTCAGGAGGGCGGCCGAACGGCCCCGCGGGAGACCACAGATGCCCTCAGACACCCACCAGGCGTCCGAAGACCACTCACAGAAGACCCCCAAGCGGCGTTGGAAACGCAACTGCCATTGATGTCCTAGGCTTTTTGTCCCACTTGGGGAATGCTTTGTTCTTCGGTCTTCAGGGCGTCCGAGACCGCCCAGGAGGCCAGAGAATCGCCCTAAATTCAAGGCGGGCAAAATTTAACTCAGAGTGCGTCCAGGCAGTCCAAAAGGAGCCCCAAGACGGACCAACAGGGCCCCAAGACGGCCCGAAGAGAGCCCCATGACGCCCCAAGATTGCCCCAAGACGCGCCCCGAATCTTTCCAAATTGTGACCCGGTCATTCATGGAGACCGGCGGTTGAAAGCAGGGTGGCCCAGGAAAGCCCCCAGAGGCCCCCAGAACGAACCCAGGAGGCCTCCAGAAGGCCCCAAGCCCTTAAAACCTGCGTGCGGCCCCCAAGAGGCTCTACTAGGATGAGCCTCCGAAAAAAAAGCTGAGGATGGAGACGAATTCGCAGGGTAGGGCGAGAATGAGGAAGAGGACAGAAAACATGAGGGAAGGATCACGAATAGCATTATTATAACGACGATGCCAAACAAAACAATTATCGCTAAATGTTCCGTTTGCCTGCATACTTGCCCTCCTACCTGCATGCCAAACCTCGAGGACCAAAGTGCATGGCGCGAGGCGCCAGAGCAGTCTTGCACACATTACGCATTGTTATGTTTATGTAAATATGTATAGCTACGTTTATAGATGTGTGTATATATACATCTATGTAGACCCGTGCATCTACACACAGACAGAACATACACTAAAATTATCCCGGCAAAGCAACCTAACAGCGATGTGTAGGAGCATATCTGGAAGCATTCCCCTTAAGATTCAGATGAGAATCCAGTTGTAGAATTGTGCTGTTCTCGCAGTCGTAGTCGCATTCGCGATGACAGTCGCAGTGGCAACGGCCAGTCACAGACACAAGCCTCAGCTCAGCCTGCCTCAGCCTCAGCCTCAGCCTGCCTCAGCCTCAGCCTGCCTCAGCCTCAGCCTCAGCCTGCTTCAGCCTCAGCCTCAGTCTGCCTTCAGCCTCGGCGTCAGCCTCAGGCTGCCTCAGCCTCAGCCTGCATCAGCCCAGAGGATCCGATCCTACAATTTGGGCCTGTCCCTACAAGTAGGCGACGCATCAGGTATGTTGAAGGTTTTCCCGTAATACATGGATGTCATTGCAAGAATCCCGAATAGAACTTCCGGGATCCCCCTTATTGTATTCCGGAAGCGTTCGTTTCATATGGTAACATGATGCATACATGTATGTATATGTACATATATATATATATGTATATATATATGTTAGTATGTAAGTATTTGCATGTATATATATATGTATGATTGTACGTGTATATATATATACATATATATATATACATTGTTGGTATGCACGTATATGTGTATGCACAACTATATTTATGTATATAGTGTACATATGTTTATACACAAACATACGTTGATGTAATCACATGTATGTACAAGTGCATACTATCATGTATGCACGGTTGCAGAGCTGTATGCATGTAATCGACATGCAACCGCATGTGTAATATACATATATATGTAAATATAAGTATATATATATGTATATGCACATATATATATATACACGTGCATACTTGTATGCATTACTATGCACATTCTGATGGTAATCCGTGTCATATCGGGGGGCGGGATTGGCAGTGCCGTCGTTGGCATGTTTCGTGGGGTCGATCCCTCCGTTTTCCTACTCCTCCATGAGCCCCCCCCATCTGCCACCGTATCCTCGCCCATAAATAGAATATCGCCGCCAATAACCATCTCATCGTTCCGTCCTGCACGGGCCCTTGGATGTGCCTGAATTGTTCAGTTGAATCAGTATATCTTGTCAACTCATACTCTTCATAATTCCGCATAGTTCCTCC